CGACGCCTCCGAACAAGCGTATGGTGCCTGTATTTACATAAGAAGCACGGACCTCGATTGTAGACATCATGTCAGGCTATTGTGTGCAAAATCGCGGGTGGCCCCACTCAAGGTCATATCGTTACCCAGACTCGAACTTTGTGGCGCTTTATTGTTATCCCAATTATATCAGCGAGTTATTCATTCATTAAGCACCAAATTCGATAGTTTGCATTTCTGGTGCGATTCCACTATAGTTTTGTCCTGGATCGCAGGAAGTCCCAAGCAATGGTCAACTTTTATCGCCAACCGCACTGCAGAGATACAAAGGTTAACGGAGGGAGGAGAATGGCATCATATTCGTTCCGAACTTAATCCTGCAGACGTAATCTCCCGAGGAATGGACCCCGACGAAATTCAAAACTCCATGCTTTGGTGGACTGGTCCCAAGTTCTTGCAAGAAGAGTACGAAGTGGTATCAAAAAATGCTCCACGTCTGCTCCGACCCGAAGAATTACCCGAGGTAAAGCGCACCACCATCGTTCTATCGGTCTCGACAGAAGAAAAATTAAACATCATCGACAAATTCTCTTCATTGAACCGACTCAAACGGGTATTCGCCTATTGTCTTCGCTTTTCACACAATGCAAGAAAGGGAAGGAAGGATCGCGAGGCTAGAATACAAGGACCATTGCGAGTGGAAGAACTCCAATATAGCATGCAAGTCATTCTCAGATTAACACAAGGAGAAGCCTTTGCCGAGGAAATCAAACTGCTCTCCCAAGGAAGAGAAATATCACGCAAAAGTAAGATACTCTCTCTTCGTCCATTTTTGGACACCAACGCTCTTCTACGCGTAGGAGGAAGACTACAAGAAGCTCCTCTGGATTATGATCAAAGGCACCCTATAATCCTGCCGAAGGATCGTCATCTCACGAAACTAATCGTTAAGGAAGAACATCTAAAAAATTTGCATGCAGGAACACAAACTCTATTAGCAATAATACGTACACGGTATTGGCCCATATCGGGAAAGGGCACTATAAAGGGAATTCTCCATAAATGTCTCACTTGCTATCGTTTCAGTGCATTACCACTCAAGCAATTAATGGGAGGCCTACCTGCGTCGCGAATCACTCCCTTGCCTCCTTTCGCCAAAACCGGAGTTGACTACGCGGGTCCATTTACTATTAGAATAAGTCGCAATAAAACAGATAAGGCATACTTATGCATCTTCGTATGCTTCGTGACTAAAGCCGTACATTTAGAGATCGTTTCTGATCTCAGCACAGTAGCCTTCTTAAATGCGCTGAAAAGGTTTATAGGTAGGCGCGGCAAACCAATTAGCATCCACTCCGACAATGGAACGAATTTTGTGGGAGCCAATAACTCACTGAAGGAGATGTACAGCCTGGTCAAATCCAGTAATGTAGAGATTCACGATTATTTGTCAGAGCACGCAATTAAATGGAATTTCATTCCCCCACAATCGCCCCACATGGGTGGCTTATGGGAGTCGGCAGTTAAATCTTGCAAGGGTCATCTGACAAAGGTTATTGGTCCAACTTCTTTGACTTTTGAGGAACTAACCACTGTTGTTGTCCAAGTGGAGGCAATATTAAACTCAAGGCCACTAACGCCCATGTCAACAGACCCCGCTGATTTTAACGCATTGACTCCCGGCCATTTTATAATCGGGCGTCCGCTCGTTTCCATACTAGAGCCTGATCTTGCCGACGTCAAGGTTAATCGTCTTAAACGATATCAGGTCTTAGAGCAAATAAGGCAAAGTTTTTGGAGGCGATGGTCAGTCGAGTATTTGACACAACTCCAACAGAGAGTCAAATGGAAGGAGGTTGAAAACACGATAAAGAAAGATACCATGGTTATCTTACGAGACCCTAATGTCCCGCCAATGCGCTGGCGGCTTGCCAGAGTAATTAAAGTCCATCCAGGTAAAGATGGCCTAGTTAGGGTTGTGAACGTCAAAACAAGTGCGGGTGTATTTCAGAGATCTTTGTCTAAAATTTGCGTTTTACCAATAGAAGTTTGAATCCTTTGAAAGTCAAGGCTTTCAAGGCGGGCGGTATTGTTAAGCAATCAGTTTTCATTTCCTTTTATGATATCGTCATTGGCTATTTTGTATGTGCCGCCATGCGTTATTCAATATTTTAGTTACGTGGCCATTCTATGTTGCGTTTTATGTTTAAGTCGCCATCTAGTTTAAGGCTAAGAGTTGTTAACGGACCACGAGGAGAAGAAATCATATCGCTGTAACGCATAGAATAAAGCGGACGTACTCACACACCAACATCCGTTCCACGATTCATTATTCATAAAAATCCAAGCCATTTACTGGAAAATAAGTTGCGAGCACACACGAGAGCAACCAATGGTTGCCAGCACAGTCCGAGGGCATGGATTATCGTGTTCTCTATTTGAATGGAATGCAAATCAATTCGTTTACTAGAAGGAATAGCTTCAAGAACGTCTGGATTATTGCTGACCCATTTTTGTAAGTTAAAACCGCCCGCCATGCAGAGCTGGTTAACTTGACTGACAACTGCTTTTGCTTCTTCGACTGTATCGGCACCTCCAAAGAAGTCGTCAACATATCTACCCTTTTTCATTGTAGGGAGGTCAAGAGGAAAACGGTTTCCTTCGTCAGAAATTAATTGATTGAATGTGCGTAATGCTAAGAATGGAGCGCATGCAAGTCCGTAAGTGACTGTGGTAAGAACGAAAATAATTATCTCATTAAATTTCTTCATCCATAATATTCTTTGATAATCCCAATTATCCTGATGGACCATTATCTGTCTATACATTTTCTCAATGTCTGAAAAAAAAACGTATCAAAACACCCTAAACCAAATGAGAACGTCAAATAAATTTAGCTGTAACTTCGCGCCTGCATGAAGCAATTGATTGAGGGAAACGCCTGACGTTGTTAGACTAGAGCCATTGAAGACTACTCGCAATTTTGTTGTAAGACTTTGTTCTCTCCACACTCCATGGTGTGGGAGGTAATAAGATCGCTCAGGCTCAACTTGATAATCTGGAACCCTTTGCATATGACCCAGGTTCTCATATTCATTAATGAATTCAGTATAATATTTAGCGTAATCAGGTCGAGCAGTAAATCTATTGAATAAACTTTTAACTAGTTGTGCAGCTTTTATTTTAGAATCTCCTAGTTTATCTGTTGATTCTTTAAAAGGAAGTTTGACATTGTATCTTCCATTTAAATCCCTCATATGTGTAGTTTTAAAATGGTTTTCACATTCTTGTTCGTTGGGAGATAAGACAGTAGTATTTGATGTTGGAATTTCTTCCAATTCCCAGAATTTCCTTATTAAAGCGTACAGATCCTCATCGACAGTAACGTGATATCCATGGACTTTGAAGTGGTATCTTTTGAATTTGTTGAGCCTGAAACGATCCATCCTAATCTCGTACATTGAGCAATAGGTGTATTAGAAGCTCCCTTTATTATGCCTTCTTCTATTATCTGTCCGTATACATCGGCACCTAATATTAGATCGATTGATCCGGGTTTTGCAAATTCTGGATCTGCAAGTTTAAGTTCGCTTAAATGAGGCCATGATGCCTTATCAAGTTGAGTAGAGGGAATCGAAGAAGTAAGCTTTGGCAGAATATGAGCTGAAACTAAGTATTCAATATTAGAATCAAAATGTGGTTTAAGTGTGAACGAAATAAGGCCTCGAGTCTTGTTAGACTTTTGAGCGCTAATCCCTATTAACGACAGTGATGAAGGACTTCGTGGAAGTTGAAGTCGTTGCACAACCCGTTCTGTTATTATAGAAATTTCAGAGCCTTGATCTATAAGAGCTCTAACCTTTGTAATTCGACCATTTTCTGATATAAGTACAACTTGCGCTGTAGCTAATAACACTTGAGATACCATCAATGGATTTTTTACAGAGGAGTGCAAAACCTTAGCTTCAGGTTTAGTAACTGTTGACGAAAGGTTGTCTTTTACTTCAGAAGCCTTCTTATTTTCATTCGTTGAAACGTTTGCATTGTGAATTGAAGTGTGGTGTTTTTGCCCACACTTCTTACATCTTTTAGTTGTTTTACAAAACGAAACTCGATGTAACCCAAGACAATTGTAACACAATTTGTGTTTAACGATGAGAGCTTTCTTTTGAGAAACAGTTTTATTACTATATTGAAGACAGTTAGGAGTAAAGTGCTTCTCTGAGCATATCACACAACAAGAATTATTGTTGTTGGATGCTAAATCTTTAGACTTTCCTTGAAAATGTACTTTAGCCGTTTGTTGTCGTGTTTGCTGAATAAATTTGCCATGATGAGATTTCTCATAAGCCTGAAGAGCTAATATACTGTTAGCGATTCTCCTTTGGGAGAGCTCGCTGGACCGCTGCGGTTGGAAGCAGGGCTGAGAGGACTTAGCGGTGAGAAG